GCCTCTCTCTAGGGCAGCTGGGAGGTGAGGGTGGCCTCCAGGAGTCCCGTCCTCAAGGACAGTGAGGGTTCTGCTAGCCCTTCCTGTTACCCTGAGGCCCTCTCCCTGTCCTGCATCTCTCAGGCCACCCTTCCTTGCCACAGGCCCCACCTGGCTGGCTACGTGCGTGCCTCACCATCACCACAGAGTCCTGGGTCCCCTCCCTGAGGGTGGGAGAGGCCTCAGTGTCACTTGCTGAACAGTTGCCCTAGGGGCTCCTGGCCGGAGCCATCTGGCCTCCTCTTGGATAATTCCTTCCTGCTGCTGAGCCCAGGGGGAGCCTTCCACCTCAGTTCCCCCTGGAGCTGCTCCTCACTGGAACCTTCTCTGCAAAGGACCCTTCCTCCCCCTGCCCTCTGCCTTGTAGCCACTGTCCCTCCCTGACCCCGAGAGTTTCCAGAAGGCTGAGCCTCCTCTTACTGGGCTGTCCAGTCCCAAGGGCCTGCTTCACAGCAGGGATGCAGGCCTCTCCCGCAGACCTGCTGAAGGCCCTCGTTCCTGGGTGGGAGTCTCTCCCACCTCTTTCTTCATTCCTGGGAGAAGCAGCAGAAGGGGCCAGCAGGGGCAGCACTGCTCCAGCTCCCTGTCTCTTCTCCTGGACCTCCTGCCTCCTGCCTCAAACCTGGGATTTCTTTTTGCCTCTGGCTTGGAGAAGATGCTCCCCAGACCCAGCCAGAGCAAGGGGCAGCAGTGAGAGGAGCTAGCCCAGGGGGCTTCTCCTCCTGCTGTGGAGACTGGGGTTCTGCCCCTCTCCACCTCGCTTGAGGGTGAGCCAGGGGCTGGCAATGTGGGCGTTCCCCAAGAGCTCATCACAAACGCAGCCTCAGCCCCACCCAGCCCTCCTGAGTCAGAATCTCAGTTTCAGCCAGATCTCAGGTGATTTCTGCAGTGGATGTCTGAGAAGCACAGTTCTGGAGCCTCAGTTCTGGAGCCTCATTTCCGGGCGCAGGTGCCCCCCACCCCCACCTCAGGGGCTGGCTTCAGTTGCCATAGAAGGGCCTGTTCCCCTCCACCGCCTTCCCCCAAGGGCCCTGACCTCCAGGCCACTGACTCACACAGAAGGCACTGGCCCTCAGCCCAGCGCTCTGCAGCGTTGGCTCATGGGCCTGAGCTCTAAGGGACGGAAGAGATGGCTGCTGCTGCCTCTGATTCACCCAGGCCCATCTGCAGCCAGGATATAGAAGAGATTCTTTGGATCATATTCTGCAGCGAATGAGTCAGGCAGAAGGAGTGTGACCCCAGCCTCACCAGTACCAGCGGAGTGATCCTGGGCATGCAGCTAAAGCTCTTGGGCTGCAGCTTCCTGTCTGTAAAGTGAAGCTAAGCATGGTGTTGACCTCACCCGGAGGTCGTGGGCTCACCTAAGGCCATCCATCCATCCAGTCTTTGTTGTAAACAGCAGAGGTTTACAGAGTGCTATTTTGTGCCCAGCACCAGTGAACCAAATGGACCAGGGAGCAGGGAGGGACTAAAACCCACGTGTGCTCACATGTGGGCCTGTGGCCACTGAGGGTCTGCTAAGCGGATGATGGATGGATGAGTGCTCTGCAAGTGTGACCATGCCCCTTGGTCACTTCCAGACAGAAGGCTGCCCCCATGCACCTCCACCCTGAAGTCAGTTCTGGGTCAAAAAGACACAGCCACTCAGGAGGTCAAGAGAAACATTAGAAGACTGTTTCGGTGTGAGGGGCCACTGGGTTTAATGGACACAGAAGAGCCAGAGCGAGTGTAAAAAGATTCCAGGGCCCAGTGCAGAGGTGCACACCTGTGATCCCAGCGGCTCCGGAGGCTGAGGCAGAAGGATCACGAGTTCAAAGCCAGTCTTAGCAACTTAGCGAGGCCTTAAGCAGTAAGACCCTGTCTCTAAAATAAAATATTAAGAAAAGCTGGGGATGTGGCTCAGTGGTTGAGTGTCCCTGGGTTCAATCCCTGGTTAAAAAAAAAAAATCCAGACTTGGAGCACATTGACCTGAAATAACCAATAATTGAGGCAGGATTAGAGTCGTTTTTCAGGTAGTTTTACAAGTTCTTCGTGTGTGTGTGTGTGTGTGTGTGTGTGTGTGTGTGTGTGTGTAAAGGTCTTAAGGATGGTAAGCTTTGGGGGTACATTTTCTCAGAGTCAGAGCCTTCTTATTTAAAGAAAGTGGATGGACAGCTTAGGATCAATCCCCTGGCTCTTGACATGCCACTAGCCTCCTCTATGGCACTCTGAGCCTCCCTAGATCATTGCACTTGAGAGTCAGAGGAGCTGCCAAGACCCCACCTGCTGTGTCCTGGACAGGAAACCGAGGCCTGACTTGCCCAATGCTACAGGTGATTCCAGGCAGCTGGAGGCAGAGATTGGAGCCCTGGTCTCTTGACCTCCAGCTCAGGGCCCTGCAGCAATCCACACATCCAGGGTCCTGCAGAAGACGTCAATAATGGGCTGAGGGGAAAATGCAGCCCACTCTGCTGAAAAGGCCCGTGCTGCCTCGTTCCACTTCCATCCGTGACGGTCAGGAGAGGGCAATCAGTGGGGAGCCTACACAGGTCAGTGGTCCCCAGGAGCTGGGCTGCAGGGCAGTTACTACTGCAGCCCACCCCAGAAGAGATCCTCGGGGTGGGGACTACTCTGTACCCTGATGGGCTGGGGGCCCATGAGCTCCACTCTCGTTAAAACTCATGGAGCCGCACACACTCTACACAGGGCTTGTTCTACTCTGCATAAACCATACCTTAACTTTTTAAAATGCAGCCTAAAATGATAATGGTGACAATCCTAACAATAACAATAACCTTGGGTGCCACAACAATAACCTTGTGGTCCACATTAGGACCACAACACCCAGGCCTTCAGGACCCGGAAGCATGGGGAGGCTGTCCATCTGCTCCAGTGTGAGGTCTCTGACTACAGACGCCCCTTCCCAGTGGTTCCTTGGCCCAGCATCCTGGACCAGCCTGCTCCAACCCAGACAGGCTCATTGCACCTCCCCACCTACCACTGCCATCACTGCCTGGTCACCTGGTCACCGCCAGCCAGAATCCTTGCCCACTCTACCCAAAACCACATGAATCATGATGCCGACTCCTCAGATTCCTCACCCCTACCCCATCTTGGTCCAGGTGCTCATCTGCCACACCTATGTGACATCTGCCCTTGGAAGGTCACTGCACCCCAGATCAGCCTGTCCAGGGCTTCCTGGGACCACACTGCATGCTCAGTCAGAGTCTTCAAGGGCTTCCTGCCACCAACAGGATTCAGAGACCTCCACAGACTGGCCCAACACACAAGAGTTCCTACATATCCAAGGACCCCTGCCATCTCACTGCCCCAGACCCAGCTAAGAGCTGGACCAAGACAAGAGGCAGGAGGTGTCAGGGAAAGGAGAGGAGGAGACGTCAGGGGTAGGTGTGTGTCCCTGAATCCTGAAGCCTCAGGGCCTCCATCTGAATACCTCCAGTGACAGGGAACTCAGCCCCGCAGCAGCCCCTACAGCTCGCCTTATGTTGTCCCTGCTTGTGGTATTCACTCCAGCTCTCCCTCCCGCAGGGCCCTGGAGGACCTGGAGGTGACGATGGGGATCTCTTTCCTCAGGACCTCTCAGCCAGGGCCCATCAGAGCCGGGCCAAGTGTCTCCCACTCATCTGGCCCGGGTAGAAGCCTCTTACTCTGTCTCTTTCATGTGGCTCAGAAACAATTCAGTTTTTTACATCCTCTGTTGACTCAAGTTGAACTTGTTGTGAATGAAACTTCCCCGTGGTTTGGGGGTTCCTTGTCATGTTTGTAATAAGCATCATCCTCTGGGCACTTCTGGGAGCCATGTGGTATTCATTGTCCAACCAACTGAGATCTCTCAGCCACTAAAACCCTCTCTGTCACCTGAGATAGCAGCATGACTCTCTGGCTGGACAGGACCTACTGATCCCAGAGTGCATGTCTCGGCTTTCATGGAAAGAGAAGCTGGGGGCAGAGTGGCACTCCCCAGGCCCACGAGCCCAGGCAGTGCCCCTGTGCCAGGCCATGCTGCTCTGAAGTGGCTCCCTTCCCAACACACTGTACCTCCCAGTGCCTCAACGCTCACCTCTGCTTGGCTGATTATGTGTGGGAAGGTCATGAACAGAGTACGGCCAGGGCTACAGGAATGTGGGAAGCACGTGCTATCCCCAGGTGAGCCTTCTGCACCTGCATCACAGGTAGTTGGTTCTGGAAACCAGAGCGGGCTTGAATCCCACTGAGTCCTCAAATCTCCCTACCCAGAGAGCCCTGATCCCCACCCCAAATAAACAAAGACATCCTGAGCCTTGGGTGGGACCCTGAAGCTTCTAATTGATCCGCTGCCCTGATCAGGGTGCAAGACGACACTGGGCTGGGATGCGAAAAGGGGTTGGGTGGGAAGGAGATGGTCACCCCAGAGGGAGGTAGACATTGTGTAACTCAGCCCATGGGGCAGCCATGGGGTGGGGACCCTCAGTGGCCCCCAGCTGTCATACGTGGTTCTATCGTGGCCTTGGCTACCAGCTGATCACAAGAGATTTGTCCTCATGGGCTCATCTCTAAAGGCTCTGCCGTGACCCCTGACCCTGGCCAACGCCTCTCTCCCATCTGGCCGTGGCTCTCTGTGTTTGCGTGTGCAAGTCTCTTTGTGATGCTATCCTGAAGTTCTCTCCCATTTTTTTGCTGCTCTTTTTCTCTAGAATTATTCAGGAAATGTTTACTTGAAAGTTAGTTATACAAACCACTTAAAGCATTTTCTCCAAAGTGCATCCTACAAATAGTATAAACAAGCCTCAATTATAAAATGATACATGAATGTATCCAAATTACAGTGGTTAAGCTGTAATTTTCATTGACAAAGACGTGGTTGGCAGGATGTGCAGATTATTCCAAATTTCATCAAATCAGATGGGAGTGTAATTCCATCCTCTGAATGGAATATTTAGCCCAATGACTAACTGAAAATTGTTCTCTTTCTATTCTAAAGCCCTCAAAACCTGCAAAGTCTAGGGAGGTTGGTGACCTCCAGTCGTTCTGCTGAGAAGCCATTAGCTCTATTACCATGGAGACCGAGGAAATAGAAGATTTGGAAAAACCCTGGAGGAAATCAGTGAGTGATTCATGGAAGATTGACAAGGAATCAGCCAAGGTGAGACCTGAGCTGCTTCCAGAAAAAGAGGAAATGCCCTGTACCGAGCAGGAGAGCCAGGATACAGAACCCCACCGCCACATCCCCCTGCAGAGAAACTCTATCTTCAACCGCACCATGAGACGCAGAAGCCAAGCCAAGGCCAGAGACACCTCTGAGCAGAACTCCAGCCACCTGGCAGGTCAGTGCCAGGGTCAGAGGTCGCAGCTGCGCCTTCACATCCCGGGAGAGTGATTAGCGTGGAAGATTCTCACGACATGAAAAGAGAATAAAAGGCACTGAGAATCACCAGGGGCAGGTCTAATAAGGTGGACCATTTTGAAGCCATTATCTACACAATGTGAATCCCCCATATAAAGGTGTGTGCTGGTCATGAGAGTCTTGACCCCAATGATACAGTGAGGCTGACTTTTACTTAAAAGACTCAACAGACTCTCCTAGCTGCACGTACCTTCCAGGAGGGGACTCTGAGCCCACTGGGGAATTTCCTCAGTGGTCACATTCTATCCTGTCTTCTCCCTTCTCTGAGGATCAGAGTTTCTGCTGTCCTGAAAACGAATGAGATTCAACCTTTGGGCTATCTTAGCACCAGGACCCCTTAGTCTCCTAAACCAGTTCCTGGCTCATTTTGTCTGCCCAAAACCTATTTGTTGAGCAAAATAAAGAAGCCTTTGCCCATGGGTGTCTGAGAGCTGCAGACCCCTTCCCTTGTGACCTGCCACCAGGGCTGAGTGGGCAGGGCAGGATTGCACGTGCGGATGGTCTCCTGGCCCCTGGGGCATGGCGGATGCTGCCAGATGGTGCATTGGAGGTAGTAACCCTGCTCAGGTCCAGGGACTCCTCACCTCATCCTTAAAAGCTTCTTCAGTGAACATCAGGTAGCTTTTGCCTTGAGTTAAAATACTCCCAGACAGAGACATAAACAAACAATGTCCGTGATTTCTCTCGATTCTGGGGTTGGTCAGGCCCTGTCTGGCCTGTTTTTCGGACCTCTGCTGTCAGCCAGTGGCTCTTTTGGGGCTGGAAGGCTGGAAGGAGCCTCAGCTCTCTGAGGTTAGCAAGTGGCCCAAGGAGGGCCTCAGCTCTACCCTGGCGTCTCTTCCTCCAGCCCTTCCTGCAGCTCGGGGGCTCGGGCTTCTTCACACGGCAGAGGAGCCTCAGAGGCCAAGGAAGCTGCAGGGCTCCTGGCGCTTTCATCAGAGCATCGTGGTCACTTACAGTATGTTCTGTTCGCTAAAGCAGCTCCCAGGGCCAGCCCAGGTAAAGACGGATGGGGTAGACGGCCCTAACGCTCGATGACGGTAGAACTTGTGTTTGCTGGAACCTCCTAGAAACATTCACAAAATTCTGTGTCCAGGACTAAGTGAAGTGAGAGCTACACAACTCCGGAAGAACTCTAGTCACGGAGGCTGGTGATGGGGACTGAACACACCCTCTCCACACCCTCTCAGCTTTGTGTGCTTGAAAATTTATATAAATGAAAAGTTTAAAACATACTTCACACACAGAGAAAGTTGGAGTCTCTGCCTTCAGGACCCCATGATATAATGGTGTCACTTTCCTGCGAGCCACATGCCAAGGTGGAAAAGGTGAAGAATGAGACTTTTCTGGTGGGGTCTGGAAAGGTTCCCCCAAGAGGAGGGTGTTTTGGAGAGTCTTGAGGGATGAGTAAGGACCTGGCCAGACGGCAGTGGAAGCTAACTGGGTCAAGCACTTGTAGGTTCCCAGGGCTGTGTAGACAGACATTCCAAGGGCAAGTTCACCACGCCCACTTTACAGATTAAAACAGCAACAGCCCCAAATCACAGCTAGTGAGTGGTTCAGCTCACAATGCCGTCCAGATGCTTCGAATCCCCAGACCTGTGCAGACAGAGGAGCAGGCTAGAAGGACACTGTCCAGCAGAAATCCAATGCAAGCCACATGGCTTGTTTGAATTTTTCCAGTGACCACATTAAAAGATTATGAAGAAGCAGGCAAAATTAATTTTACCAATGCATTTAAATTAACCTAATATATTCCAAATATTATCATCATATTGTAGAGTTAATAATGAGATACTTTACACCCATTTTTTTTTACATTGTCTTTGAAATCTGTTGGGTATTTTATATCCCAGTCCTCTCAATTTATATGCCAACTTTTCATTGGAAATACTTGATCTGCATTTAGATTTCATAAAATGTACAGTAGGAAGAGTAGATCTATAAATTGTTCCAAATATCCTTAGAAGTTTCCTAATCGCTGAATCAAGTATCAGTTTTTACATTTTTATTTGAACTAAGTTGAAGAAAATGGAGCGTGCGCTCCTTCAGCCACACCAGCCGTGTTTCAAGCATGCGATGACCACTGATGGCTAGGGGCTATCCTCTGGGGCAGAGTGGGCATGCAGCCCAGCGAGCAGACAGAAATGTCTGTGCATCTGGCGAGTGGGGGGGCAGGGTGATTTCTGCAGTGGGAGAAAAGGTGGATGTGGGGCTGTGTCTGAGACGATGGTGGAGACAGGGTCCCCGGGGAAGAGCCTTAGGTTTGCAGACTCTTCAAGACCATCCAGGAATGCTGATCATGACAGGGGATACCTCACCTCCTGTCACCTCCACAGGTACCACTGATGCCCAGCCCAGAGGTACAAGATGCACGGCTTTATGGTCAAAATGAATCCCTCATTTCTCCTCCCTAGAGTTATCTCCACAAGATGGCCCAGCATTGCCTGACTCCAAATCCAAGGAGAAAACATTCTTTTTCATCTCTCTGATGAGAAAGGACACAGGACGAGGAACTGTTAGGAGCAGACAAAATGAGCCGACGCTGCTGTGGTCCACTATGTAACCAGAAGGCTCGTTCTCTGGGTCCACTGTGTGGGACTCTGGTCTGGGAGATGCAGGACACTCCCCTGCTAAATGGGTGCCCTTCAGGAACATGCTCCAGCATTGCCTAATGGGCCCAGATGGACTCACTATTTAATGTTGAAAGGAACCAGACATCATAAAATCAGTTGGGAAAAGATGACAATTGTAGAGGATCTTTGTCCAGTGGAAATGAAAGTCCCAGGGGTTCTGGATTTTTTTGTCCTCTAAGACATTTCCAGGTTTCCTTCAGGGGGTGAGGGGAGAAACCACCCTCCTCACTGCCCTTCCCTCCCCTTCCAGGGCGACAGTCACTGCTGCCCTAGTCTTAGAATTGCCTGAAAAGGGGGAGATGGATATTTTCTAACTTGCTCTATTTCTTAAATACCACAGATTCACAGGAAAATGGGAAATCTATAAATGAGCCTCTGACCTTGAATCTTCCCCAGAGCAGAAAGCCTCTCTGGAGAATACCAACGCAGATGGGGCCAGGAGCCCAGAAAACAAGGTAAGAGCTGGCAGGACCTGCTCACGCAAAGATGTGTCAGGCATCAGTGTGCGGAGCCTGGCGGGGTGGGAGGGGGTCGTGTTCTAACAGCACAATTGCTTATGTTAAACACACACACACACACACAGACACACACACACACACACACACACACACACACACACACACCCCTCCACTATTTCCTTATTTAAAAATAAAAAGGACCAGGAGCAATGCTGCCCACCTATAATCCCAGCTCCTCGGGAAGCTGAGGAAGGAGGTTCAAAAGTTCAAGGCCAGCCTGTGCAACTTAGCAAGACCCTCTCCCAAAATACAAAATAAAAAGGGTTGGGAGTGTAGCTCACTGGTAGAGCACCCCTGGGTCCAACCCTGAGTACTAGGAAAAAGAAAATTTTTGCTTTGCATGTCTGAGGACCTTGGTTCAATCCCCAGTATGGGAAAATACACACACACACACACACACACACACACATGACTTTTTTTCTCTTCCATCACAAAATTGAGAAATTTTAGATATTATGCATATTGAGAAATGGAAGAATAAAAAATGGCCAGAAAGATAAAGGAAGGGGAGGGGCCAGGGTCCTGTACTTCCTTCCAGGGCACACCCCCATATGATCAGGAGACTTCCACTAGGCCCCTTTCCTTGAATGTTCCACCGTCTCCCAAAGGTGCCACTGGCTGGGGACCAAGCCTTTAATTCATGGGCTTTTGGGGGACACCTCCCCAAACCATGGCAGTCTCTTTGCTTGATTTGTGCTTCTAAACGGAGGTCTCATGATCTAAATTTAACAGACCAAAAAATACCATCAGCACCACCAGCAAAACCCCACCTGGCGCAACACCAGTGAGCGTGAAGGTCGCCAGAGCCCTTATCCCAAGCAGAGCCCCAACGTTTTACCTCTCTGTCTTGTTGTGATCGTCACTATAGTTAGTGTCTTCATAAAGCCCATTTTAACTACTCATCAAAGTCGTTTTATGTTACACTAAATGTGGAGATCTTGAGTCTACAGCTTGCATGGATACTCCTTGTTGAAAATAAAACACACATATACACCCCTGGACCATCAACCAGACCAAGTACAGCACATGCCCATTGCCCAGGGAGGCCCTGCAGGCTCTCAGATGTGACCATCTTCTGCCTCCCCACACCATGATGTGAGTTTCATTGGTTCTTAAACTTCACGCAAATGAGATCACACAGTGTATACCCGTGGTGCCCAATTTATTTTGCTCAACATAATATTTTTTAGATCCATGTGGATGAGATTTTCTCATTTATTGCTAAGAAGTAAGACCACGATTTATTTATCCACCCATTCTTTTTTTGTTTTTGTTTTGTTTTTGGTGCTGGGGACTGAACCCAGGGGTGCTTGACCACTGAGCCACATCCCCAACCTTTTTTATGTTTTGAGACAGGGTCTCACTAAGTTACCTAGGACCTCACTAAGTTGCTAAGGCTGGCTTTGAACTTGTGAGCCTCCTGCTTCAGCCTCCCAAATTGCTGTAACATCCCTAGAAGAGTCTTTTTGTGGACATACACCTTTATTTTTCTGGAATACATATCCAGGAGACCAATGGCTGGGTCTTAGAGTAGGTGTATACTTAACTTTATGAGAAATAGCCAAATAATTTCCAAATGTGCTAAGTGCTTGTACTCTGTTACCCACTCACCAGCAAGGAATCAAAGATCCGGTTACTCTGTATCCTCTGCCACACTTGGAGCTGCCAGTCTTTGTAACTGTACCTTTCTAGTACATTGTGGTTTCTCCCTGTTGTCTGGTGTGCGTTTCCCTGGTAAGCACCATGTTGAGCACCTCTTCATTGGCCTTCCATGGGTCTTCTTTTGTGTAGTGCCTGTTTATTTGCTGATTATTCATTCCTTACCTTTAATTTATAGTTTTTTATTTATCAAATAAAAGTCCTTGGTCAGATAGTCCAAATATATTTCCTACCAGTCTATAGCTTCTTTTGTAATGAGCAGAAAACTTTGATATTGAGAAAGACTAACTTTGCAACCCTTTTTATTGTTCATCATTTTCTATGTTACCTAGGGAATATTGACCACATCAGAGACACGAAGCTATTCTGTGTTTTCGCACAGGATTTTATGTGTTCAGCTCTCACGTTCATGTCCCTGTGGTCCATGGGGAGGTCCTGTGGCTCCAGAACCACCTAGTAAAAGGGTCTCTGTCCCCCTCAACCAATCACACTGATGCCTTTTTTAAAAGTTCTCTGTAGATATGTGGGTCTATTTCTGGACTTGAATTCTGTTTCATTGATCTAATTATCTATCCTTATGCAAATACCAGAGTGTCTTAAATTCTGAAGCTTTTTGCAAAGTCTTGAAGTCTGGTAGTGTAAGTCCTCCTACTTTGTTCTTTTTAAAGATAGTTTTGGCTATTTTAAGTCTTTCATATTTCCATATACATTTTAGAATTGGTGTGTCAATTCTACCCCCCGAAAATATCTGCTAAATTTTCAGTTGAAATTGCATTGTTCTCATAGATAAATCTGGGAATCCTTTACACTTAAATACTGGCATTTAAAATCATTTAATCTACAAACACATCTTAGCTTTCCATTTATTTGCTTATTTTAAAAATTAATCCAGCAACGATTCATAGCTTAAAAGCTTTATGTATATTCTAATTAAATTTGTTCCCAGGTAGTTTATGCTTTTTGATCTTATTTGAAAAGCCAGTGGTTGTGATTTCATTTGTAAATTGTTTTTGAGCAAAATACATTGGTAGTATGTAAAAATACAATCAATTTTTCCACATTCACCTGGTAAACTGTGGTCATGATGAACTTGGTTATTACTTCTCCTGGTGCATCCCTTTGGATTTTCTGTGCACACAGTCATGCCATCTGGGAATACAATTTCACTCTTTCTTTCCAGTCTTCATACCTTCTATTTGTTTTTCCTGCCATATTGCACAACTAAGGACTTCCATTACAATGCTGAATAGAAGTGTGACAGCAGACATCCTGGTCTTACTCCCTGGTCAAGGTCACTTTGATCGGGAACATCTGAAGCCTACTCATGCTTTTTCAAGTGAAAGAGGTAATTGTAAGAGTGCTGAACTCTCAGAGAGTCCAAGTACAAGAGAAAGCCCCTCTTCACAGGAGTGGAAAAGGCATTGAAGCCAGGGCCACGTTATCCTGTTCTCCAGGGTCTCAGGCCCATGGCTCCTTGCTTCTCGGTGTCCTGTTCTGTTCTCCTACCTCTTTCTCAGACCATTTTCTCCTGCCTATCAGCCTGCGCATGACCTAAATGGCAGCCTTTGCCAGTAAGACCCTTCAACTCGTCTCCCCAGAGTCTGGGAGCTTCTTTTCATTTGTCTTAGAGAAAAAGAATTTCTAAGCAACAGAGTTGATTGGCCATCCTTGAGTCAGATGTATGTCTCTAGAACAATAAGCTGAAAGGACCAGGGCAGGATTTAAGGGCCAGTCCCCCTTCCTCAGAGGGAGCTGTGGGAGAATCAAGGAGACAGGGCATTATGTAGAGTCTGGTCTCACACGTGACAATGCCAAGGGTACCTGGGCGAGGGGAGAAGCAGCAGCAGAGATAATGAGTAGGGAGTGGGGCTGTAGAGAAGGATTGGGGTCTTGGAGACCAAGGTGGATATAGAAACCTGTGCCCTAGAGGGTTAGGAGCTGGGTGGTGCTGATATAAGGCAGCATCTTTTCAGAGGTTCTGCAGTTGTCCACAGCTCACCCAGGGGCATTCTGCAAGTCCTCTTCCACACACCATCAAGCAGTGAGAGTCACGGTGCCACAGGACGGGGGGGCAGGAGAGAGGCACAGTGGCGGTAGAAAGATGCTCAATACGGAGGATGATAGGGGAAGAGAAGTGCTGGGAGATGGGGACTGACATCTGTTGAGCCCTGTTGTACGCACTTTCATTATTCCCAGTTCACAGAAAAGAAACTTCAGTGCCTGGCCAGAGGTTGTACGGCTAATGAGACAGCTAGACCATGAACACAGAGACTCCTGACTCCACTCCCCGGGGTCTCCCATGCTCAGGCTGCCAATGGGGACATGGCCAGGTGATCTTGGCTGTGAGAAGGAGGCTGTCCCTGTTAACCTGGCTGCAGAGGGCAAAGGCCAGAGGCATAGGGTTCCCTCACCCCCAGCCCAGCGCTGGCCTGGTTCCTCAGAGACCCTCAGCCAAGTCAAGATGTCATAAGTTGGATCTTTATTTACGTAAGTGCAATGTCATGAATCAGGGTCTAACCCCCAAAATCATCGCATGCCATGAAGACACCAAATTTATTTGAATATATATAATGCTCACTATATATGTATTTATATATATCACATACATAGTAAAATAGCATGTGCTTTCATAACCTGATATTTAGTATATACAACTAAGTTGCATCAGAAAACTTCATTGGGCAATTTTCCTGCATCAGCTGAGTGAGCATCAGCCTTCCTTTCCCCGGCAGCACCCGGGGGGAGCTGCAGGAGCTGTCCATCGCTCCGAGGATCCTCAGCACTGAACATCAGTGTCGCACCAGGGCTGCACTCTGTGGGGCAGCCGGGGCAGCCCTCGGTTGCCACAGCTCTGCTCTAAATGGTTGAGCCATACTCCTTGGTTATCAAACACTGTGACTACTGTCCCTGAATCCATCTCAAAAAATGCCATAAGCTCCTTTAATGTCACCAAAGACTCATGCATGGTACTGGGAAAGGACCAGCGACCAGGCTGGCCGTGGCATGTGTTTCATGAAAACATGTAGGTGGCACATGCAGTTACCCTGGGGCAGCTGGCCATAGGTTCGTCAGCGTTTGTTTGGGTTGTTCATTCTGAGAGTCCTGCTGTGAGAATCTGTAAATATCGCAGACCAAGACTGAAGTAGTTGGGGGCTGCTGTTTCGGGGGTTAGTTCATTTACAAGCCTTCGGGGCAAGAGAGGAGCTGAGGAACCGCAGCCTGACACTGGCCAGTCTGTAGCTCTAGCTGCCAGTTTACAGGAGAGAGAGCAATGGATC